CGGGAATAATGGGGATAACGGGAATAACGGGAATGGGAATAATGGGAATGGGGATGGGAATGGAGGTGGGGATGGGAATAATGGGAACGGGAATAATGAGAATGGGAATAATGAGAATAATGGGAACGGGAATAATGGGAATAATGGGAATAACGGGGATAATGGGAATAATGGGAATGGGAATAATGGGAATAACGGGAATAATGGGAATAACAGGGATAATGGGAATAATGGGAACAGGAATAAAGGGAATGGGAACTGGACAGGAATGGGAATGTGACAGGAACAGGGACATGAAGCCGGTCTGGCTCGGTGGGACCCAAGCCTGTCCCATGCTGTGAAATGTGACCGTGTGTGTGTGATAACCCAGTTTGTGTTTGTTATTTACCCAGTGGCCTGTATTTGAATATTAATGACATGTAAATCAACTGCTTAATAGGAAAATCACAGTTTTATATTGGATCAACATGCATATTGACCCTTATTAACTTTGCACCTACAAACACTTGTTTGTGGCCTTGTTTTTTTTAAACTTTTTCTTGTGGAGGGAGTTTTATGTTTATCGGGGGTTTGGGACTGCAGGGGGTGTGGGGCAGGGACACGGATGTACATGTTTATATTACATCCCCTCTGTGCTGGGGGATGTATTACATCCCTTCTGTGCCAGGCTGAGCTTGCCCCATCTGCCCCATCCCTCCCCTCGCACCTTTCTGGGCAGGACAGATGAGGTGAGGTCAGAAAATACCCTGCCCAAGACTCTGTGGGGAGATACAAAGGTAGGTAGATAGAGGAGAGGCAAAGGTGGACAAAAGGAGTTAAATCCAAGGGGTTATTCTGCAACCCCCTGAGGCAAAGCTGTCTGGGGACTGCAGGGAGGCTCCTCAGCCCAGCCAGACCCTGCATACACAGATTTCATTGATTTTTTTTCAGTCCAGGCCCCTGGCTCAGGCCCAGGCACTGCCCTGCCAGGTGCTGCAGGTGACTCCAGTGGTGTCATTCCTGTAACAATATTAATTTAATTCTACTACACCATGTCCAGCCTCTCTCAGCACATGCCCGCTGCAATGCTTCCCTGCTGGGGGAGTCCTGGGGCACCCTGTCAGACAAGGACTGGGGGCAGCTTGGGGTGCTGGGGGGCTGTGTCAGGGTCCATGAGTGGTGCAGGACTGAGCCCATGGCACTGGGGGGCTCTGGGCTCTGCCTCTTCTTTGCCCAGACCCCGAGGGCCCCCCCAGAACAAATATGGCTGGCGGTTGGCTGGTTTTGTCACAAACAGACTTTACTCACCCGCTGCCTCGTATTCCTTGTTACAAAAGAACAACTTAACAAAAAGAATGAAAGAATGCCCTGCGGCTGCAGCTGGGGGAGCGGGGGGCGTTCGGCCCCACAGAGCAGGGTGGGCTATGGCACTGTNCAGCGTCGCGGTCGGCCGACAGGTTCTGGCTGCTGGCACAGGTCATGTGGATCAGGTGGCTCCCGGGCTCCGGCAGCAGCAGGCGGGTGAACAGGGCCTGGGCACCGGCAGGGACAGGGCACAGTGACACAGCCCAGCACAGAGCTGATCCCTCCAGAGGAGGAAGCTCCACGCCACACAGCCTAATTGGCTCCTGCTGGGAACAGCTCTCCCTGTCCCTCAGTAAATAACTACAGTGAGAACCCTCAGCTGCTTCTGGCCTGAGCAAACCCTCCAGCCCCTCATGGAACAACAGCACCCCACCAGAAACCATTTCCACTGAAATCCTCAGCAGGAATGACTGATACAGCTGCAAATGAAGATGAGTGTGTGTGGACACTGTTGACTGAGCTCTCTGGTTTTTCTTCCCTTTCCCACCCACACAGACCTACAGGGCAGCAAACTCCTGCAGCTTCTAGGAGGAAGGGCTGGATTCCCCAAATTCTACACTTTTCTCAGTCTCATATCCCAAAAATCTCATGGGCTTTTCCAGGAAAACAATAAGTGGCAGCTTGGTGCCAGGTTTTGGAAAAGGATGTGGGATATCATATGTACTTTCTGAGGAAACAAACTCAATCCGATGGCCAAAGCCTGCAGGTGGCCCTAGGCAGTCCCTACCTGCTCCACATTGTCCATGTCCAGCCAGTCCTGGTCATCCAGGTCTGCAGCCATCTCCTCCAGGTACACACAGCGTGCTGGGATCCCATTCCCACTCTTCATGCTGGGGTCACCTGGGAAGGGCAGAGGGACCTGTTCTGTTCCACCTGCAGGCAGGACTGTCCCCAGCACCTGGCACTGTCCACTCCCAGCTGTCATCTCCCACGTCAGAGCTGCCCCAGCCTGTACCACACCCCGCCAAACCCGGGCTCACTGTTGTCCAGGGTGATGAGGAAGATCCTCTGGATCATGTGGTTGATGTTGAGCTGCTCGCAGAGCTCTCGCTGCGAGCGGAACGAGCGGCTGATCTCGGCCACCGAGTAGTCGCAGTCGTCCAGGCTCTCGGAGACACTGTTGTCGGAGTCATCCTGGCTGATGGACGTCTCCTCGCCTGCACGACAGAGCCCTCAGCGTCTCGGGGGCCAGCCCTGTCCGAGCGGACCGCCT